AAATCTGCTAGTTTTCACCAATAAAACTATCGGAACAAATCTATTATGTTGAGGTTGATTTCTTTATGTAAACAAAGGTACAGACAAATTAGCTGTTTAAGCCCGTTTCCAATGTCAAAAGCTACTAGAAATATCAATGCTATTATTTTTTAAATATTTCTAAAAATTAAACCCTTAGCCAGCCATCTACGGTGATAACACTTGTATTTCGTTTTTATAACCTGTGCCGTTCTGCTACCCTTACACCAAGTTGCAGAACGCTCTTAGAATTATAACATTAACATCTATCAATAATTAGAACGCCTATATAATTAAAACAACTATCAATACTTAGAACGCCTATGTTATAAGGAGTAACAATATATTTATTTCGCTGATAAGTATCACCACTTATGATGAAAACCAAATCCGGAACGAGTCAAATATATTTATATACTTTTTTTAATATGGGACCGAAAAAAGTCAAATCTGTATTTATATATTATAAAAACAATTTTATAATATTCATAAAACACTGAAAAATGAAAAAAGTCTCAGTTAAAAACGCCACTGTTTTAACTGAATTGTTTAAGGTTTTATAAATAATTACAACAAACTTTTATGATGCGACTGACAATCCAAACTGTGAACGCTGAGCTTTTGGGAATTCAAAATGTAAACTCGTTTTTCAGTTTGCTGTTAACTGATTGGAGTATAAAACAAACTGTAGCTGAAGAAACAATATTTAACTATTTTACAGAAATTGGTGATTCAGCAATTAACGTTAAAGTATTTTTGACGACGGTTTAATATTGAACTTGGAAAAATGGTTACTAAAGAGGTGATTGATAAGTACTTTGATTTTATTTACCCATTGGCTGTTCGTGCTGGAGAGATCTTGCTTGAAGGTTACTATAAGACTACAATACCTGTTGAAATTAAGACGGACTTCTATGATGTTGTCACAGAATATGACAACAAAATCGAAGAATATTTAATGGAGCAAATACTGGCGACTTACCCAGACCACAAATTCATAGGTGAAGAAGACACAGCTAAGAACGATAATATAACTAAGGATCTTACCGACGCGCCAACTTGGATAATAGATCCAATAGACGGTACAGCTAATTTTATTAAGCAAATACCACATGTAAGCGTTTCAATTGGTTTGTCAATCAATAAAGAAATTGTTTTGGGAATTGCGAATAATCCGGTACAGGCAAAGATGTACACAGTGAAATTGGGACAAGGTGCGTTTTGCAATGGAATTCCAATTAAAGTCAGCCAATGTGAAAAGGTAAAATGAATATTTTATCTATTATATTTCAGAACAATTCATGATTACTTGCATTTTTTTTATTACATACGGAATGCTCCATTTCGTAGATGAATGATGCTAATGTTGGATATGAAGTATCTTTATTGCATGCACCAAGCATTCGAGATAAGCACATAAAACGCATATACCACATTGGAATACATGCAAGACGGTAAGAAAACAAATTTTACGGTTTATTTAGTTTAACTAAGCTCTATTTGATAAACAGTAAGTCACATCTTATCTGTCTACTATTTAATCACATATGCATATTATAGCTTTCGTGTGTCTTTTATTATTCAAATCATAAAAGTGGGTCATTTTACATTTAACTTTTTACGAATTCAGACTGACTACATTTTTTTTTTAATTTTAATTACAATTCACACTTTTTTTAATTATATAAAACTATATACAATATATTGTATTTAGAATTTGATAAAGGAAAATTTTGGATGCGTCATACGAAAAGTTTTTACAATTCTGCTACTTTAGCAATGTGTAAATAACTGTAAGGATGTGATGTTATCTAAAGTTAAGGCTACCACTGCATACATAAACGGGACTCTCCCATTCGTAAGCTTCCTATTCGATGATATATGTGCTATAATTTAACAAAGTATTACATAGGTGGGGGCGATTCAAAATTTGTTGAAATCTATAGATATTCGCATCAACTTGATATATAGTTGATATAGTGAAACAGTTTTACTTTTACGTATGTATACTCTTCCATATCCTAGAAATTTTTATTGTTTTTTATTCAGTCGAAGCATAAAAACAAAAAAGTGAAAAGTAAGGAAGAGTCAGATGATCTAATTTAAAATGGTTTCACTATTGATTAGATTACATTGAAGTAGCAGCAAAGTTCACTTAATCGCATATAATGTGATACCACGGAGTCTCCCACTGTTCTGCAACAGAATTTTTGAAATTTATTCACTTAAAGGCAATATTCGACTTAACGATATGCAGGCAACTGTATGCAATTTGCCCACGCTCCAATAAAAGGTAGTCCTGCTCTTCCATTGAGATGCCGCATAGAGATATCAGTTTTGTAATAGGTGACCTGTAAGTCACTGCATTTTAGGCAACCATTCTAAAAAATTAAATTTCCCTTTTAATCATACCTGCCGCAGTTATGGAGAGGACGACGAAAGTGCCTCCCCTTTGCTTTATTTTTGTGCAGCAAATGCGTGGTGCTGCCTTACCACTTTAGAGACTTTTTTTTTTTGAGAATCTTGGTTAACTACAAGACCTCCCCTTGAATAGTATTATACGCTTTGCCCAAAGTTATGAGTGGTCCTAGCCCCTGAATTTTTAATTATATGGTAACACAATGGGCCTATAGCCCTTGAGATCACCGGTATAACCAAACCTAACCTAAATGCAATATATAATTGAATACCTTATGTTTATAGCGAAATTTAATTCCATCAATTGATAAAAAACGAACAAAAGTATTTTCTAACAGATATTGCATCTGGAATCTTTAAAATTCTTACTTTTAGTAAGAATGAAGTAAAGAAATGTTTTCTACCCAAATCTCTTAAATTGACATATATTCTTTTATATTCTGACCTTGTTTTTAGAAGTAGAATTTATATTCCTATTTTTTAGAGAGGTTTTGAAAAGTAGTGAACTACAACAACAAATATTTCTACTTTTTTTTTAAATTAAATTGAAACTAAATTCATGCCAAACCTGTTAAGTTGTCAAGTTACCCATTTTTGCACAACTCAATCATATTCAATATATAATTCCATATATGTATGCCCAACCATTAGTTAGACGTAATCTTATATGAAACCATAGAATAAAGGAACACAGTAAGGTTTGTGTCTTTTTCAAATGAATTAAAAAAAACCCATTTTCTAACGATCTCTGGTGCTTGTTTTCAAGTTCGAGCCCTAATAGTCAAAAATATATTTAATACTTTTTTACCAGAATTTAATTTAGAAAAAAATCTATTTTATAGAGTACTGTCATATTCTTGTGTTGTTGACTCACTTTGCATGGTGGCTGCTGGTAATTTAGATGCATTTCATATTGAGGATATGTATCCATGGGATTGTGCTGCAGGTTATCTACTTATCTGCGAAGCTGGAGGTGTTGTTACACATCCCTATGGAGGTAAATTCGATATTGAGAAACCTGATCTAATATGTGCTGGTACGGAAAATTTACGCATAGAAATGGAGCAATTAATACGTAAAGCAGATAAAGAAAAATCTGTTGGAGGCAATTAAAATTAATGCAAATAATACTAAATTTTGATAATGCAATCTCAACAATTAAAAATTCTTTATCTTACAAATGAATCTGTACTTATTTCTTAAAGAACATATAATTAAAATACAAATATATATATGATACGTAACTGAATTTAATATAAGTGATTAATTAAAATTAATACAATGAACTTTGAGATGTTATTTTGAGCATTAATAAAATTAAAAAGTAATATGCATTCTCACAGATAAGATTTATTTGAAATATAAAATATTTTCAGGTTTGCTAAATAAAATTCCCAGAACAATAATAATGACGTACGACGAAAATTTAATAATTAAGCAATTGTAATAAACTGGATATTTATGTCCGCAATAAAAGTATTTTACATTAAATACTGTAAGAGAAACTACATTTGATTAAACATGTAGTTTTTGCTAAGTTAATTGTTGTCATTAATTATTGTTTATAAAGTCATCAATAGTTTCTTAAATATAATTAAAACATGGAATTTCAATAGAAAAATTACTGGGTGCAAGGAAAAATTATATTTATTTTAAGCAAAAATATTCATAATTGCTAACTGAATGAGATTTATTTTAATATATAATTATTAATATTAGTTAAGGTTGTACGCATTGATCTGTTGAAACCCAAAACAAAAGTATTTCTTTCCTAATATAAAATGTAATTATTTTAACAATGTTAATTCGATAAATATAAAATTCACGTAATTATTTTCAATTTTGTTAGACAGGCGGCGGAAAGAAGAGATATAAGGTAACAATCGAATCTCTGGTGAGAAAAAACTTAAACTTTTCATGCGTGAAAACATAACTAACAGTTTTTCGAACAGTAGTGAACTACAACAACAAAAATTTATTTTTTATATTAGTTTAATTAATTGAATTTTTGGCTGACCATACAGCTGTTTCGAGTATTGCCAAATACCTATCATCAGTGATCTTGGAAATAATTCTTGTATTTAATTATTCGTAAATAATTATTTTTGAGACTGCAAGTACCAGGAATCAAACCCGGGTCCTGCCAAATGTGAAGCTCAAATAAATATTTATATGAAATTTACCGAATTATTTTTATTGAATTTGGTGGTACTTACTTAAACAAAATTTATCCAAAAAGAAACGAATATTTTATTGAAAATGACTAATATTGGGTAAATCTTTTTTCTAAAATTAACAAAACTAACAAAATATATGTTAATAAGGTGGTCAACGTAAGCAATGCAAATTTATAGCTTAAGCTTACGTTAAATAGGAATTAATTTCTCTCCAAACAAGTAATTGTCAAGCCCTGATTCTCAAATATTTTAGTATAAAAATTTTATATTCATATCACAAAATCACAAATTTTATCTGTGAGAATTTGAATTTTTGGAACGATATTTACAATCTCATTAAGTTTAAGCGTATCTAAAACAAGTTGCCTCCTAACAAAAACCAACATTTTTATACTTTATTTCTTAAATACTTTACCGGTTTATTAAATAATTATTTTATTAGTGTATGTTATTTAAAAATATGCGAAAAATGCAATTTAAAATATTTAATTATTTCTACCAAAAAAAAAAAAAAAATAATAAGTGTATTCTTTAGACATGAATTGTGCAATAGAACAACTTTTGGTGGTTAAGAATAACTTGGCATCACTGTGTAAGCCAGTAAACATATGACAAGTAAAAAAAATTCAAACAAATTTGCTGTTAAATATTATAAAGAAGTTTTTTATATAAATATATATAAATGTCAGTCATTTTCACAAATTTTATTAAAAAAATTACTAAATCATAGTTTTTTATAAGTATCCAAACATCAATCATAGTTTTTTGTAAGTATCCAAACATCAAAACTTCGGATCGTATAATATTTGTTACTTTTACAATGTGTATATCAATCTCATGATTAATATTCACAAGGACTTCGGAGCGGCTTTCAATCCAAACCGGTCTCCGGGGCAATATTGTTATTGCCGTTACAGACATATAACATACTAACAGCACTCTATCTATTGATGGATTGAAATAATTCCCAAGGAATATACTATATCTATATACTATACTATATATATATACTATACTATATCTAATTAAAGCGCATATCTATTGAGTAATACAGCTATATAATAATACCTATGTTAATGATCTAGTACAAATTGTGTTGGAGAAGAGACAATTTTCTTTCATGAAAACGTTAAAAATTTAAATTAAAACAGAGCCTAGCTAAATATATTAATAACCATTATATTGATTTTCGGTTATTATAGGCTCGGCATAATAAAATTTAAATTAAATTAAATTAAAATAGATATGTTTGGATACTTACTTACAAAAAAACTATGATTGATATTTAAATTCACTCATTAACAATCGCAACAATTGTAAATAATAAATAGCTAGATTGTCTTCCAAAATTAATTTACAATAGATCAGTTTCAAGATTTGGCACCATTGTAGTGTGAGGTGCTTATTCGTTAAGTACTGCCAGGAAAGAAGGCTTATTTTAACTTTTTTTGTTTTTGCTTTGCATGTTAATTTTTAAGCGATATGTGTTTATTAGAGCATTTATGTCATAAGAATACCCCTATTATAAGATAAAAAAATTATTATATTAATACTTTAGCTCTATTCAACCTAGTTTTTTATAAAAGCCGTCTTTTATTTATAAAGCATATGCATATGTGCAGCACAACAGGTGGCAACGCCAGAACAAAATCAGTAACATATTGTATATCTGGCAAGCTGTGAAAGTTTCAACTTCTTCAGATGTTTAGTTAGCTTTTTGCAAATATTTGAAATAGTGTAGCTTGGTAATTTTTTATGAAATGGAAAAAATTGCATATCGTGTAGAAATAAAATTCCTCCATGTAAAATGAATGAACAATGATGCAATCAAATTGGAAATGGATTATGTTAACAACAATCTCATAACCTTACACCAACGTTAACAACAATAAAATATTGGAAAACTGAATTTTAAACCTGGTCACACAATCTGGTATATTTATTTAAACTTTTTTTATTAAAATTCTACCGCAAATTTGTTTGAATTTTTATTACTTGTCATATGTTTATTGGTTTAGGTAGTGATGCCAAGTTATACTTACGCTACAAAAGTTGTTTTATTGAAACATTCATGTCAAAAGAATACATCTATAATACACCTATTATTTTTTGTCTTGTAGAAATATTTTAAATTGCATTCGTCATTCAAAACAGTATTTGGAAATAATTGATGAAACATGGATCCATTCCTACACACCTAAGGGAAAACAATAACCCAGAGGATGAGAGCCTGGGGGTAGTGTTCCCAAATGACCACATACTCAGCAATGTGCTGGAAAAGTGTTGACTCCGGTATTTTGGAATTTAAGTGGAATAATTTTCATATACCTTATGGAAAAAGGAAAAACAATAACATCAGACTACTATTGCATATTATTATATCGATTGAATGAAGAAATCAAGAAAAAACGACCATATGTGTGGAAAAAGAAAATTTTAAGTAAACATAGTTGAGTTATTGTTAACTAGATGTTCATAGTTTAAATTATGTTAATCATTTTTAACATTGAAAACTTTTATGCAGAGGTCTTCAACCGAAATTTTTAATCATAACAATAAAAATTCTCGTTCTGGTTTTCTGCCAAACCGATCAAATGACGTTTCAGTGTTTTATTTTATTTGCAATACTCTCATAACAAATCAAAACAAAAAAAAAACAAACAACAAATTTGCAACAATAATTTGTGTTGCTTACTATTGGAATTGATTTTTATTATTGGATACAAATGAGCTTAGTAGTGCCGTGCTTGCATGCGTAAGTGAAGTTTACTTGATAATTGATAAAAATTTAATTAAATAGGGTAATTCATATGCATTGTTTGCTATTTTCGCTATATATTGACATATAGATGTGTTATCTCTTGTAATTTTTGTTGTAATAAATAATGAATTTTATGCACACATAATAAAAGTATATTTTGAAATTAGCTGTTTATTAGTTCATTTAGTTCAAAATTAAAACTAAAAAGTGTCGCATTTTAAATTAATTTTTTAACGATTGAAAGTTTCAAATAGTAAAAAAAAAGCAAATGAAGCAAAAAAAAAACCAAATTGAATAGCTAATCAGATCGTTTTTAATAATAAAATTAATACAATCAATAAAAATTCAATAAATATTAGAAGTATTTAGACCTGCTCGGTAACTAGGTAAAGATATAAAACTTTATGTGCATTTGTTTTTGTTAAATTGCAATAATACCGAGTTATCAAAATATCAGCTGATTTTTTTTAATCTCAAGTATTGTACCAAAAACAATTATGGTGTACTGATGGGTCCAAAATGGAAGATGGCAGTGCAGAAGCAGGAATTATGGGAAAAATAATAATTATGGGAATAATGGTAAAAACCGGTTCCACTTTTCAGGCAGATGTACATGCCTTAGAACTATGTGCGAGAGAATGTCTACGCAGAGGCACCCAAGATAC